GGGGGAGGGGGGAGGGGGGAGGGAGGGGAAAACTGAAAAATGAGGAACTATAATTCTTTACATGAGTAGAAAGTCTGATTTTTTTCCTTTGGAACAGCTGGTGGGTTCAAACAGCTTACTTACATTGCAGTTAGCAGCCCAATGTGGAGCCCGCTATACCACTAGGGTTTCTATGATGATCCTTTGAAAACCAGCAACCAACCTCAATTCCACTGATTCCATGCTGACTCATAGGTTCCTGCTAGTGACCCTATAGAACTGCCCCTGTGAGCTTCTGGTACTCTAGAATAGAAAAACTCATCTTTCTCCTTTGAACCACCTCTTGGTTTCTAACTCTTAACCTTGTGGTTAGTAACCCAGTTCACAAGCACCAGCTGTCTTAGATACCCGTAAAGCCTGAAATCAAATTCATCCTTGTGGCTCAACTATATACCAAAAAGTAGGCCTACATGCTGAGCAATAACGCCAAGGAGTTATGCAATTCTTTTAAAAGTTCCAACTATATGCAATCAAAAGGACATAATGCTCAGAAGACAAGAACATTCAGGGAAAATACGCCAATGAGGAATGTGAAAAAAAATTCTTGCTTTTTATTAATTGAATTTAGAATTCTTTGAAATCTCAAGTTGTTCATTTAAAGAAAGCAAATAATATGCAGTTTTCATTGTAGTGCTTACTTAATACATTCCACATAAAGAAAAAAAAATTAAAAAGCAAGTGAAACACAAGTGGGAGGACTATTACTACCTTGTGGGTATTACAATCGGTGTTACAAAACAAAATGAATATGAATTGTTGAACAGATACCCAATTAGGTATGCTAACATTCACCTAAATCACCATAGATTTCTTTTTTCCCCTCAAAAAGGAATACATTGCTTATACGCCTAACATGAATTAATATCAAATGCATTTTTTAAGTAAAGGAAGTCAGAATCCGAATCTATATAATACACAATTCAATGACATGACATTCCAGATAACAAGTGAAGAGTAAAATAGTAACTATATGCATTTCACTACAAAACTAACAAAGTGAAAACACTTATTAAATACTGTAATTTAGGGAATGTGTAAGACAAAAGGATGTTATTGGAAGGGAAAATCGGAATGATCTCTTAAAGCTACGTTAGTAACCTCTCTTAAAATTGTAGTTTTATTCTATGGCCTAGCAAGGCTAAATTCTACAAATTAACTATATACATCTATCCGTATAAAATAAAATAGAATAAAGGATATTCATAGAATCATTATTTATAGTAGCAAACAGTGAGTGGCCACAACAGAGGAAGAAGGAGAGTCAGGGATAGGAGGAGGATACGAAAAAATGATTAGTAAAATAAATTATAAGGTGGTTATGAAAATATAATATTAAGATAGAGATCAAGGCTTTCTGATATATTTGAGAAAGGGAGTCCATTTTAATTGTTTTTCTCCCCTAGAGAATGGAGCAACTTTCCTTAGTCATATGAGGTAACCATAAAATTGAATCTTACTTCACACATTGATGAGGTTTCTCAAAATAGTGTATCAAATTTAGGTTACATGAATATACAAAAACTTTCAGGGAAAATCGAAGAAAATAAATTCAGAGGACAGATGAAACACAGAGGGAGAAGTAGCACTTCTATCACATCGAGTGCAGGAGAAAAATGACATTTCTATAGAAAATTAGACAGAGATTTAAATCCATATTAAAGGAATTCAAATAGCTTAAAAATCATGAAAAATCGTTTAACTACACTCATAGTAATAGAAGCACAAGTAAAAACTGTCCTGAGATATCTTTTTGGCCTGTCAGAATGGTCTGATAATTTGGCAATTAATACTTGATAATGATGACTCCTATAATTACACATGCTTGTTAACAATAGGAGTGTATGAGAGTGTATGAGAGTTCAGGGGACTGGGGAAGGGTAAAATAAAATATAAGTAGCTTCTTATCAAATGTACCTAATGATATAATACTTTTCCTCCAGGATTTCTGATATATCCCAGAAAATGATTTAATTTTAATTGTTTATTTTTAGTCCTCTAGGGAATGGGGCAACAGATCCTCTCTAGGGCTTATGTCTCCAGGTTGTGACAATATATAGAAGTGCAGATGCTTCATTCCCAACTGAGTTTTCCAGAGGCAGGAGAGGAAGTCCTTTTGCCATTAAAAGGTTTGTTTTAAGATACTAAACAAATGTGATAAACAATTTCAATGTAGGTTTTCTAGGAAACAACTCAAAAGGGAGAAGACTTAATCTTTACAGCTGGAGAGTTCTTGAGGAATAATGACCCATGCGGGAAAAATACACATAGCAACATGCGAGGAGCAAGAGGTGAACCCTGTTGAGCCTTGCGTAGAAGCTTTGCACAGAACTCATCAAAAACAGGGTCCTAGAAGATAACAATTGAAAGGAGGCCTGGTAGAGTAGTGGTTACACCGTGGACTGCTTACACAAGGGCAGCAGTTAGAAAACAATAGCTCTCTGCAGGAGAAAGACAAGGCTTTTCACTCCTGTACAGAGTTAGTCTCAGAAACCCACAAGGGCAGTTCTATCCTGTCCTAGAGGGTCCCTATGAGTCAGAATTTACTCAATGGCAGTGAGTTTTGTTAATTGTTTTTGGTTTGAGAGTTTGGGGAATATGTATGTACTTTTGCAAATTTTTGAGCAATTGTCAAGGTTGAATACAGATATATCTAAGCAGATTGAAATAGATTGTATAGTATCATTAGTAGAAAGACGAAAGCTATCTATCATCTCTTTAGCTGTCTACCCAGCTTTAATTGAGACTTCAAAATATTAAACAGAAAACACAAGTAGCCCCCACAATCAAAAGACTAATTAAATGGGGGTAATTATAGGGGATAAGATCTAGCTGTTCTATTTTCTACACTTAAAATGGGGGAATAAATTCTTCACATCATTTTGATATTAGTGAAATATGGTGTTTAGAGTAGTGAAATATGGTGTTTTAAAAAAATGGTAATTAGAATGACGAGCGGTATAATGACTAGTGGTATAAGCGTGTCTTCAACACTCAGATTTATATAGAAACAAGATAGAGGCCTTGAGTATTCCAGTCTAGCACAGGAATGGACTGTTTAATTTCTGAAAAGTTTTTGCTGGTTTTCAGAATCAGAGATAATCTTATTGGACATCACAAACAGATAAAGAAACTTCCCAGAATGGTGGTTTCTGAGAGGTGCTTGACATGAATTCCAGCAACACATGACTCATTTTGCATGATTAGTTCACATTTTAAATCCTTCTACATGTTTAAGATGGGGACAAAATATGTACCATAGCTGTCTTGATGGAAGAGAAGTTAATGTGGAAAATTTTGGAAAGAAAATTTCTAAGTCATAGAATCTTTAATAATTCCTGGTGTGACAATATCTCTAAATTCCATTTTCCTGTGTTTTGTATAAACGTTGCTTCCAATATACCTCTGTCACACATGATAGGATTGTTGGAATATTTCCCATAACTTTAGAGTCTCTGTTTCCAATTCCAAGGGGGTAATCATTAATAAAGGGAATATGTTAGTGGATAGAGATATGTAATTGCTTAGTATTTAGGGTGGAGAAATGGCACATGGATGGGCATCATAGACTGGTCTTTTTGGTCTTTGTGTCACTGAGACACTGAAGATGTCTTCTAACTTGGATTTTACTTACCTGTAAAATGAAGCTGTATATTAGATCATCTTCAGTATCTGTTGCAATTCTTTAAATCCTCAAGCAATGAGAAAGACTAGAACATAAGACTCCTTGATTTGAAAAAAGAAGATCGAAAAAGTTTATTAATTTAGAATCATGATGATCCCGTGTGTGTTAGAATAGAAATGTGCTCCATAAAGTTTTCAATGACTGATTTTTCAGAGGTAGATCGCCAGGCCTTTTCTCAAAGGCATCTTTGGATCAGCTGGAACCACCCACTTTAGATTAGCAGCCAAATGCATTAAGCATGCGTCATGCAGGCTGTTATAAAATAATTGAAATCTGTTTTCATATCAAGTCTACTGCACCCAAAAAAATGAAAATTCTACATAGAATACATAATAATCACACAAGAGAGAGATACAAATGCTGTGCATTTATTATGTCGCAGCCTGTACAGGTGATGTAACAATTAAACAAAGCAATTTGTACGGGTCTGACTTTTGTTACTGACTGTGAAGCTGACATAATCTGTCATTACATCAGGTTACCATTGTCTTTTGCAAATTTATAAAGCACAAAAATACCACAGAATTCCTAGATATCATTTTAATGTATCTATGAATATTAAACATGAGAGTTCAGATCTTAAACAAAATCAGTTAAATTATGATTTTTACTTTCCCAAAAAACTTTTAAAAATGATTACTGGGTTTAAAATTTTTAGAAACTTAAAATCTCTTTCTTAATGAACACATGTCAAAAGCAATGGCTTTTTCTGTCCAGTCGAGGAGAGTTGACAAAAGCTCCCTGCATCCTCACCCTCTTTAATGTCTACCTGTCTTTTAAAAATTTACTTCCAGGAGTTTGCTATTTTGTTAAACAGCAGCCATGCTATTGTCAGAGAGAAATAAAAGCGGAGCTACATTCACCTTGTTGGGCTTCTCTGATTACCCAGAACTGCAGGTGCCCCTTTTCCTGATATTTGTGGTCATCTACTGCGTCACGGTTGTAGGAAATCTCGGGATGATTGTAATCTTCAAAATGAATCCCAAACTGCACACTCCTATGTACTTGTTCCTCAGCCACCTCTCGTTTGTAGACTTCTGCTATTCCTCCACCGTTGTTCCCAGGATGCTGGTGAACCTAGTTGCAGAAGACAGAGCCATTTCATTTCTAGGATGTCTCGTGCAATTCTTTTTCTTTTGTACCTTCGTGGTTATTGAATCCATTTTACTAGCTGTGATGGCTTATGACCGTTTTGTGGCCATCTGTAACCCTCTGCTCTACACAGTCGCAATGTCCCAGAGACTCTGTGACATGCTGGTGGTCGGATCCTATGCATGGGGTCTAGCGTCTTCCTTGTTACTCACCTGCTCTGCTTTGAAATTATCTTTTCGTGGTTTCAACACAATCAACCACTTCTTCTGTGAGTTTTCCTCACTTCTCTCAGTTTCTTGCTCAGACACTCACCTGAACCAGTTGCTGCTTTTCATCACTGCCACGTTTAATGAAGTGAGTACATTACTCGTTATCCTTGCCTCTTACGTGTTCATCGCCGCCACCATCTTGAAAATGCGCACAGCCAGTGGACGTCGTAAGGCATTCTCTACCTGTGCCTCTCATCTGACCGCCATCACTATCTTCCATGGCACCATCCTCTTCCTCTACTGTGTGCCCAACTCCCAAAACTCCAGGCACACAGTCAAAGTAGCCTCTGTGTTCTACACAGTAGTGATTCCCATGTTGAACCCCTTGATCTATAGTCTGAGGAATAAGGATGTCAAGAATACAGTCAGCAAGATAATGCACATGAAAGCCTTTTCCCATTGAGGATAACATTTCTGTAGAATTATCCTTCACTTGGAAATAAAGTGTCTACAAAGAGGTTGTTTACAAAATGTCTTTTAAACAGTATAGGTAAAATTACACAATGTTAAGAATGTAAACTTTGGCGCAAAAAGACTAATCTTGGCTTTGTCTCTTAATTACAGGAAAAGATCCACAAGAGCTATCATCTTTAGTTTTATATCTATAAAACTGTGATAATATGAACTAGTTCATGGTCTGATAATTAAGGCCGAAAGTGTAGATATCATGTGGAACACCTTACATAATTTGAATAAACTGCAATTTCATGCCACTTTCTTTAAAGATACTTGCGGAGTACAATAGGCTCTTAATAAAAACCTGCTTGCTTGTGATTTTTATTTTACAAATCAACAAATGGCAGTAGGTAAGACATAGGCATTGCCTTTAGGGAATGATACAGTGATGATGATGGGGCAATAAAAAAAAGTGGTTATTGTATATGACAAACTATAATAATAATCACAGAAGCATTAATCCAGGGAATAGTTCAAACCCATTTAGTGAAGCTAACAACAAAAAAAGGGGTTCATAAAAGAGCTATTTGGGACCCATTTCAATGAAGAAGGTATTTTATTCTAGAAGAAAGGAGAATAATCAGACCCAAGGAAAAGAAAGGGTAAGATTGAGGTCACTCACTTTTATTGAGTGCACACTGTATAATAGGTGTGCTGTTGTTGTAGATACAACTCATGTTGGCATGAAAGCAAGTGGGATCGATATGGTCTTTACACTGAACCCATTTCTAAATAGCTCCAGTCTGACAGAATCATAGGCTTGATACTGTGCCCTGGAAGATTAGAAATGGATCTCAGAAAACCTGTAGATAAAAACTACTATAATGAGTGTCTTCCCAATCCTCATCTCACAAAATTATTTTGCACATCTGGTTATCACAAATATTACATACAAGTGTAAGTAAAAATGATCACTGCAAGATTTTGGAAACCTTTATTAAACAAAATTTTAAAACTATGAAGCTATAGTTTATTGGCATACCTTGTATCTAAAACTATACACTTCTGAAGGTCGTGTTGCCATTTCTTTAGCCCTTCCCTGAGTAATGTATACTTTGTCAAAATAGCAAGTTTGGCATCCTTGAGAGATTCAAATTGTTTTCCTTTAAAATGTTCTTTGAGTTTGGAGAACAAAAAGAAGTCTGAAGGTGCAAGACCAGGTCTGTACAGTGAATGGAGTAACATTTCTCAACAAGATCATAGGACAGCCATTGCTACCAATAGATATATTGGGTAATCAATTCTCTTTTTACAGGCAAATTTCATTCACTTTTCCCTTCTTTTTTGGTGCAAATGATACAACCAAATTAGCTTTTACACTGATGAAATTGAGATCTATATAGTTCAATTAACTCAGCTACACTTGTAAAACCAACTTTTGACAGAAGAGAAAAAATAGAGCAATTATTTAAAATTCCAGCCAAACCAGCAGTACTTTTTCTAGTAAGTAATGATGTAAGATCTCATATTCTTTCATTCCCCAACTCAAACTAAACTCACTACCATAGAGTTAATTCTGACCCCTAGTGACCATTTAGGACAGGGTAGAGCTTCCCTGTGGGTTTCCAAGACAGTAACTCTTCACAAGATTAGAAACCCTTGTCTTTAATTCACAAGAGTCACATTCCTCATTCTTTATAGAAGATCCCTTTGTCTATAAATTGAAGATAAGAGTAGTATTGAGTTGTTTTGTTTTCTTTTTTGTCTACACAATCTCAGAATAGTTTTGTAAGTGTATGTACCCCTGGAATTTTATTGTAAGTTTAAATAGCATAAAAAAGTGTAATCATCATTGTATATCATGATTTGTTTAAATTACATGGATAAGATCATTTTAAGCAATCAAATTTATATTTTTCCTCCCTTTCCGGGACTTACATTGCAATTTAACTTTCCCTTTAAATCTTTTCATTCTAAGAACCACATTTTTATTTTTAATTTCTTTTGTCATAATGCTTTTAGTGTTATTGAAAATTCTATTTTGGGATTCAGTTATTCTTAAAACAATGCAATATCTACACTGAGGAGTTGCAATTGAATTACAAATGCTAGTTAAAATTTAATGAATCACAATTAAAAAATGATATTGAAAATAGTCTCTTTGTCAGAAATGTAGATTTGGATTTTTAATTATTATTATGATATCCAAGAAATAAATAAATCAACACCATAGACAATAAGTTCTGTATCTCTATTTTATAATTAATAAAAGTGCTGAGAAGTCTAAGTCATATTATAGAAAACCCACAGATCCCAAACTCACTGCCATTAATTCAATTATTTTCATACCATATGGCATTTACAATGCTACATATTTTTATGGGAGTAGATAACCTCATCTTTCCTTTGTGGAGTGGCTGGTGCATTTAAACCACCAACCTTGCAGTTAGAAATCCTTTGCCTAACACAAAACACCAACTGGACTCCTCTTTAAAAGCAAACTGAGATAGAAACTCTGATGAAAATTGTGCTGTAATAGCAATGACACTCAATTCCACGCAAACTTTGTTCCAATTTTAAGCTGATTTTTTTCTGCAAAATTTATTGTAGTAATGCATTAGACACATAGAGTGCTATTGAATTTTTTTGAAAGCTAACAATTTGGAAATGGCATTTATTCCAAATTTGTTCCATAACTAGGTTGATTGCAAACTGCCCACATGATCCAGTCCATCTTGTGTCCATGGCCTTTTCAACTTCTCATATCAATTACTTGAATCACTTTCTCCGTGTGTTAAACGTCACCTAATCTTGTGACTTGTTTTGGCTAACAGATGGTGGCCAAAGTGGTATGGTGCCAATCCCAAGAATTTGGAAGGCCTTGAAGATATTGCACAATCTTTTGCGATCCTGTGAAGTTGCCATCTGAATAAATACAAACAAATAGCATAATGAGAGAAACATTACTCCATTAGCAATCATATCACATGACATGGAGCCCCCAAACAAATTAAGAATTAAACTCTCTTAGAGTAGATAACCTACCACTCGATTTCATTCACCTAAGGCCTGGTGGTGTAGTGTTTTTGCGACCTGTAGGGTCATCAGTTAGAAACTACCAACCGCTCTGCATGAGAAAAACTGGGCTATTTACTCCTGTAAACAATTGCAGTCTTAGAAACCCACAGTGGGTTGCTATGAGTCAGCATTGACTCAATGGCAGTGAATTTGATTTGGAGCAAGATGAGACAACCTCTGCTGAGCCTCCACCAGATAAGCAGAATTACCCACCTGGCTCATGTAATAGTGGAAATAACAAATGGCTGTTGGTTTCAACCAATATGTTTTTGAGGGTTTGTTATGTAGTCAATAATGTCACTTTCTCAATTTCTAGGGATATTACCAAAAGGACTCCCAAAACTTACCATATGACAATTAAGAATATCCGCTATTTCCTCCCTGAGAGATTTAATTTGAAACCATACAAGTAAAAAGTTTAGAAAAATTAAAACATGGTTTATTTCATTCACATATTTGCTGATATAAAATTGTATTACCATAGTATTATCTTATATGCTTTAAATTCATTTTTGTTGATTTCTCATTTAGATTTTTCAGTTACAGATAGTAACCATAACATAAATGCCATAATATTTCTTAAATTAAATCAATCTTTAAATATACCTCATAGATCTTTAAATATAAATACACGAGCAAAATAACTTTCTGTGAGTGGTTTGTTCAGACAATGTCAGGCATCACTTCCAACTCTTCCTTTTTTAAAAACTGATTCACTTTAAAATTTGCCATATGTGACTCTCTCACTCAGAAGAGATGCATTCTATAATGATAGTTCGATGAAACACTAGGAATAAAACTAGGTATCAAACAAATATTGTCATCACTACTATATAAATATGTTAGAGGCAAGCATCACCATATGCCTAAGATGCACATGTAAGACCATTCTTTCCCATGGAAAGGCATATGTATGCACTTGAGAGAAATGAGAATCCGTGCCTTGATTAAATGCAAGTTCAACCTTCACAGATAAGAATATTTCAGGTTGTTCTTTTGATTTAAGTTAGAGAAGTTTGACATTTTCCCCTATGGGATTAATTCACGTATTAAGATGTGGATGGGTAGAAGGAACCTCTTGCTTTTGAAAAGTAAAAGAAAAAGAATTGTGAAAATGTCCGTGGGAAAGGATAACCAGAAAGACTTCTCAAGCTCAGGGAAAACTCAGAAAGATCAAATTTGGAAGAAGACACTTTCATTTGTTGAGAATTTAGAACCCGATCCACATGTGTGGCAGTTATATAATCTGTTGTCAATTTGAAGATTAAGAGTGAAAGGGTGGGGTCTAACCTGTCAATCACTGTATAGCCAATGAGGCCTCTCTGTGGGCCTGGCCTTCTCCTGAGGATTCTGGGAACTCCTGCATTCCTCTTTGAAGACAGGAGATCTCTCTCTCCGCTCACTCACAGTGAGACATCCCTGTGGAAAAAACACATGGAGAGAGGCTGATGGAGCCAGACCTCTGGAGCCAGAAAAGCCACGTGGAGATGCCTGCCAGCCCTGAGATCCTTACAATGCCACTGGATCCACAATACTTCCCACACACTAGCCTGTGGTCTTCCTGCATTCAGCGTTATTGCATATGTTTCGTGAGTCTGAAGAGGAATTTATAGATTGGTATCAGTCACATGGGTTAATATCATGCTTATGGACTTGTTCTGGACTGGTCTGGGAAGTTTTCTCAACATTCAGCTGCTCTTATATATAAAGTTTTTCTTATATACATATAAATGTGTCTATTAATTTATTTCTCTAGTCTACCTGGACTAACACAACACGAAATTCTTGAAAATTGGTACATCTCAAGCCTCACAGACTGTGATGACAATGCTATTAGTTCATGTACTTGCTATTTAGTCATTAGAGAAGCAGCCCTCAGAGATCCTTATGGTGGTTTAATTGCATGACCTCTGGCACTGAAAATTATTC